AACATCCCTCTCCACTCCATGGCTCAGAGCCAGGAAAGCTAAGACCAGAGAGGGAGCCTCTCAGGGTAAAATTTTTCTCACCTGGAGACAAATAACCACCTTCTTGTATTATTGCTTTAATAAATGTTGATTGAAATAAAATTGGTTTATAAAATTATATAAGCTGCAGCTGCACAGCACTATAATTAGACATACTGATCATCACCAAAAGTCTAGTTTCCATCACCACCATACAATTAACCCCACTTCCAATCCTTCCCCTCTGGTACCCACTGATCTATTCTCCGTGTCCAAGAGTTTGTTTTTGCTTTGCCCATTTGCCTTGTTCCTTTACAGTCCATATGTGAGTGAAATTCTAAGGCATTTGTTTGTTTTTTTCACTTTGCAGAATAACCTCATGTTCTATTCATGTTGTCACAACTGGCAAAGTTCATTTTTTTTCATGTATATGTACCATTATATAAACTCCAAGTCTCTAAGCATCGAGCTGTTGAGGGACATCCAGTTGTGAGGCTTAAGTAACGTAATATGTATAAAAGCTATGCTCTGGGGAAAAGGAGTTTTCCTTCCAGATTGCATTCTGTTACTTCTGATGGAAATTTTTCATTATTACTCACTGAAAAAGTATTAATTAGGGCCCTCCTTGGTGGCACAAATTGGCAGCAGCCACTTCAGTGTGAGTTTGGTACCTGGAGCTGACCCACCCGCCGCTCCCCTCAGCAGTGTACTTCCATCTGCTCCCCACTCTGTCTCTGGTAAAACCTCTCACCACCCCTGCATCACTGGCCTGTACCCCAGTTCTGTATGCATAAATAAATCTTTAAAAAAATATTAATTAACCAGTCATGACATACCTATTAGTTGTGACAGGCGCTTCTGAGATGGAGAGCTACTGTGTCACATGAACCTTAAAACCTGATAACCACTGAAAGGGGCTGGTCAAGTTCTTCCTTAGGATAACTGCAACTGACTTGTCTGCGTTTCCTGGGAAAGACTTAAACTCCTAATCCATCTTGATTCCATAGCAAATCAGCTGTCGTGGATGAGGAAGGTCTGCACAGACATGGCAGGGAGAAGAGAGCACAGAAGACCGAGTATTTGTCATCACTAAGACAGCAGAGACTCTCAGCTCTGGGGTCAAATTCTGGCTCCCTGCATCACAGTTTGAATGTCTTCTAATAGCTGAAGTTTAACCTCTGAGTTTCTGGATAATTATTCTAACAAGTAACTGCTGCTGGGTGAAGCCAGCAAATACAGATTTTGTTAATGATGTCAAGTCTAGGTAGAGTGGGGGTGAACGGGAGATAAGAACCAAAGTAATTAAGAGTACAAGGCAGAATAGAGTGTAAATGCAGTAATTAGCATGGAGTGCTATGGATATGCAGAGGTAAATTCAAGTGAGATTATTTTCCTGGTGTCAAAAGGTAAAAGCTGGGGGGAGAGAACAGGCAAGAAGTGAGACTGACATCAGGCAAGCATAGGACACATTCAGGGACCTATGCTAATGGGAGAGCCCATCAGGTAGACTGGAAGCTTAAATTCCTGGCTCAAAATGGGCATTTTGCCATAGCAAGAGAACCTCTTACAGAGTTGGGCCATTGGTAGAGCAAAGACAATTTCATGGCAAATCAGTAGAATAGTGTTTGCATGTGTAAGAAAGACAACAGAAACTTGGCTTTTTAAAGATGTATTTGTGCATACAAGAACTGGGGTGTAGACCAGAGGTGAGAGGGGTGAGAAGATTCACCAGAGACAGAGTAGAGAGCAGAACAGGCAGATGTACTGAAATACCATCT